ATTTTTTTCACCTGTTTGAACTTCCTTTGTTTTCCTCCATGATTGATGACTCTGTTTCCTGCTTACATGCAAATTAAGGCAAGCACACATTCTTTCCTGTGTTTAGGACAGACCTGACTTCTACCCGGGCAGGACTGTGCGGTTTGGAACATGGGTTAATAACATCCAGGGGAGTCTTATAATTTCACATACAGTGTTTCCACACACATTTTACCAAGACAATACTGACCAGCAAATTGAGTTTTCAAATGATAACTTACAAGGCATGCACAAAGATTATTCCGGTAGTGTGTAGGGTGCGAATATAGATTGGTCTCTGGATTTCTGGATAATTAAAGATTATTTTAACTTGACATGCTACACAACAGGTGTATTTACTAGGTAAATATTTGTATAAGTAGTATTCCTGAGGTTAGGTTTTTATTAATAGCTAAAGCCAAAGTTGAAACTAGAATTTTTTTCCTGCCAAAGTGAAAATTCTACTTTGTATTTAACTTTCACATTGTAATAAAACAAGCCATGAAACACCAACAATCTGCGTAAAAAAATAAACTGAAAGTCAAATATAACCCAATTAGGGCATCTTGAGCAAGAGAGATTTGATTTTTAAAAAGCCAGTGTTAGCTTCTTGTGTTGTGTCAGACCTGATAGTAATCAAGCCAAATAAATCAAATACACCTCTACCTCGATATAACACTGTCCTTGGGAGCCAAAAAATCTTACTGCGTTATAGGTGAAACCACGTTATATCGAACACTTGCTTTGATCCACCAGAGTGCGCAGCCCCGCGCCCCCCTCCCGCCCCGCGCACTGCTTTACCGCATTATATCCAAATTCGTGTTATATCGGGTCGCGTTATATAGGGGTAGCGGTGTAGTGAAATTAGTAAAAGTTGTATGTTTTTAGTATCTTGTACAATTATTTTTGCAGACACTGAAGTATTTTTTTCTTAAAGGGATATATGCAATAAGATACCATTTTAAAACCTATATTTGTACATATAAAATAAATAAACTATCTTAGGACATATGTTAAGTAGTATGCATCTGAGTACATTAATAGTGTCCCTCAGGCATGTGTTATTGCTTAGCGGTTTCAAAAAAAGTTCACATGTATTATGTGGGTATGCCATAAATGGGGGGGGGGGGAGTAGGATTTCACGTGTTCTGAATGTCTTTGGCCTTAGTCACTGCTAACAATCAGCTTTACAATGTTTAGGTCTTTTACCATCTAATACTTGATACTATACATCGAATACATTTCTAAGGGTGTGTTATCTCTGTAGGCAGTACAATAACTAGAATTCACTATGGACTGACCTGAGATCTGTTCAGCCTTGCAGTGAAATTTGTCGTTTATTATTTGTGTTACAGTAGCACCTAGAGACCCCAACTGAGACAAAGGAGGAAACAGGCAGAGAGGTGAAGTGACTTGCCAGTGGGAGAGCTGGTTTTAGGAACCAGGATAGTGAATTGTCTGTTAAAACAGTGCTGTCTCTGAGAGTCAGTCTCGTTTCCATTTGACATATTTGTCACTTCTTTTCTCCTGATTTATGTATGAAATAACAAATCCTTTCTTTCTAAGGCCGTGCTGAACTCATCTGTTCAGCATAGAGTTTGGAGACGGAGGAAGTTGTGTGACCGCCCTTTAATTGCATTAATATTAATAGGAGGTGAGATTGTTCTCTCACACCGCTCCCAAATAGACTAGATGGTGTTGTCACCATTGACCAGGAGGCAGTAAGCAATTAGAATGAATCATCTTTCAGGCTCCCCTGTAAAAGGTTGGTTGCATATGGAGACTTTTTCTTTCCTGTGCGTCCAACAGGTTTTTTTTGTTCTGTAGCTTATTATACCACTCTCTTCATCATATTATCTAAGTGACCCCCAGTAGTCTGAGAGAGACTCGAGCATGCTCAAGGACAATTAAAATCAAAGGGTTTTTCTGGAAAATAGGCTATTCTTGGTGAAAAAAATTATGGCAAAAATTTTGTACCAATTACCTGATTTTTACTATTATCTGCGAACAAGTTAGCACAATATACCCAAATAAATCCATTTCCTTCCTAAGTGGATGTGTGGAAAGAGCTGACCTACTGGCAACTCCTCAACATGGACCTATGTCTTGGCCGGCATGGAGAGTCTAATACAGATCTCTGTACCACTTTTGGTCCCTTGCTGCCTCAGCCCTCCTCACATGTCCTAATGTGTCTGTGTATCTTTCAGGGCCGGCTCCAGGCATCAGCTTAACAAGCAGGTGCTTGAGGTGGCCAAGGGAGAGGGGCGGCACGTGTGGCAATTTGGGGGCGGCAGGTCCCTCACTCCCTCTAGGAGCGAAGGACCTGCCTCCGAACTGCCGCCGCCGCCGATCGCGGCTTTTTTTTTTTTTTTCCCCCAATTGCTGCCGCCGGTTGCGATTGCGGCTTTATTTTTTTTTTTGCTTGGGGCGGCAGAAATACTGGAGCCGGCCCTGGTATCTTTGTATATATGTATTTCTGCATATACCTGCCTGTATAGCCAAGAACAACTCTGGTCCCTCTATCATGATATCTAATGTGACTTTTTTTTTGACATTTTTTATGACCACTACTCTCCACACGCTTCACAATTGTCACCTTATTCTCCTCCCTTCTTTAGGCTCCGACACTTGGGTTTGCCAGTACCATGCTGCACTCTCTCTAGTACAGTCTTTCCATTCTCATTTGTCAAGCATCCTCTCACTCCCTTGAAAACACTTCAGATTCTTCTATAAAATGCAGGCAAAAGACTGAATCACTTATGATCTGAAGGTCAAATTCAGGAGAGCAGAGTCTGGAGGTTACAAATAATAAAAAGGAGGGAGGAGAGTATCTATTCTGTAAAGCACTGTGTAAATTGGATACTTCATAAATGATTTGTGAAGTGCATGTGTCTTTCTTTATCCCTATCAGTCAAAATTCACAAGCCAAAATTGTCAGCTATGGCCATAGTAGAACTTACGTGAAAAATTTTGAACTAGAAATGACTTTCAGAAACCCTTTTGTAAAAGCTTTTGGACCTACAATTTTTGCTAAAAGCAAAATTTCGAATGCTTCATAACCATACAAAGTAACCTAGCAACACAAATTTCACAACCCTTTCATAACCATTATTGCCCTTCACTAGTTATGAGCATTATAAAAACAAGTGTTAGGATGGAAATGGTTTTTTGTTTTTAACCTAGAGCAGTGTCTAGGCAGTGTCTACCAGTGCAACTGCGATTACTCAAAAATACAGACGTTTTTCCCTTAAGCAGGGTCACATTTAAAAAATAAATAAAAACTCAGTAACATG